GCACTTCGGAACTCGCTGGCGGCGGCCTGCGGCAGCAGAGGGACGCGGGCACCCCGAGCCAGCCGGCACGGGTCCTCCTGTTCGTCGTCGTCGTCGTCGTCGTCGTTGTCGTCGTCGTCGTCGTCGTCGTCGTCTTCGTCAATAACGATCTCGAAAATTACGACAAAAAACGATGACAGAAAACGACCACAATCATAACACAAAAACCAACCGAACACGGAATCCAACAACAAAAAAACAATCAGAAAAACGACCGCAATCATAAAATGATAACGACGGCGACAGCGAGAACGGCAACAGCGGACGATTATAATGAAAACGACGACCACGACAAAGGAAAGGCACGCGACGACGACGACGGACAAACAAAAGACAAGACAGGCTGGAATAGAAAAAGTAGGCTGGGCGACAACGGGTGGGGGCCCGCGTGGCCGAGAGAAAAGCACGGTGTCGACACCATGATGTGGCCAGGGCAGCAGACTACCTCGACAGACCAGCGCGGCAGGCCATCATTTAGTCTGTTCTGTTGCGTTTATGGGTTTCTCTGACGTTCTCGCCAATACGGTCTCTGACGCACGTGGTGGATAAAAAACGGCGCTTCCCGTTCTTGTCCGGTCAGGTTTTGCTAGACGTATTGTTGAGACGTATTCCGAGACAGTTTATCATACCAGGAGCGGATGTTGTGCACGGGCAATAGAGTGCGGTGTGCAACCATGTGATTGGTCACGCGTTAGCTTGGAGACAGTGTGTGTGCAACCTTTATTACCATGCTTCATATGTTTCTATATACTGGTCCAGAGTGTTTTTTTCCTTGACCCATCTGTCATGCCACTGTCAGATGTTCCCCGTGCAGATGATGCAGGCCGTGAGCTCGATGTTCTGACTTGCTGAAGCTTCCCATAAGTTTTGCTCTCTGTTTATGCCTGTCCATTGTTTCCCCTGCCCCTTTCTTCCTCCTCCATACATGCTCTTCTCTTCCTCGATTTTCTGTCCCTGCTATTGTTGCTCTGTCTCCCCCTGGCTGTTCCTCTTTCTGCTCATCCCCATTCTTTCACTCCAATCCTCCCACTCGTGGGAGTTGACAGGTCGCCCCGAGGAGGCAGCAGCGCCACTGTCGCAATCCCCCCTCCGCTCCACTGTAATCAGATGCTTGAGGTCGTTCGCATCCTTGCGCCGATGTGACTGAGACGTGCTTTTTGGATTCTCATTCCCATCCCCTCCCCTCGTCCGTCGGAACGTTGGGGGTAGAGGAAGTGTAGTGGAGTGGAGTGGACCCCATTGCGGATGCAAGTGTGTTCAACCTTGACTTGACTTTTGGCTGGCAACGTTCGAATGTCGTGACGATTGCTCGACTCGACTCAGGAATTTGGGCTGTAAACCCCGTGGGACAATTTCCCACTACATGGGCTCTTGAGGGATTGCGGCGCCTTATCGGCGACCCCCCCCTCCGAAAACATTACACAACGAAATCTGAAGGTTCGGTTGAACGTTCAGGATGTGCGTAGTGTGTGCCTAGCCCCCTGCTATGTGAATTCTAGCACCCTTGATGGGCGAGAATATTACACCTATTAGCACTATCTAACTTATGGCACTCAGATGCGCGTAACTCTTTCGCAGTGGCTTGGGTTGCGGACTCACAGCAGGGCAGGCACTGCCTCTGGCATTCGGCAATGCGATCTTGGGAACGGAAAGCCGATGCAGCAGCAGGAGCAGGAGGGGAGGCGGAGGAGGGGGAGGCGGGACCTCACGGGCACGCTTCCTTTCCTGAAGCTCGGCCTCATGGGTGGCTTTGATACTGTCAAGGGTCGCTCTGAACAGCCGCATACGAACGATGTGTGCTCTCCTTTCGTGAATCAACATTCTGGATCTCTCGGCGACGGTGAGGCGGGCTTTTGCAGCGGCGAAGCCTGCAAACTCATCGGACAGCAAGTTGCCAATGACCATCGTAATGATAGATCTCCCCTTGTGGATGTCTCGCCCAGTTTTGTGAGAACGGGTCCATGGCAGTGAAGTGGTTTCGCATTCGTGTCCTCCGTGCGGGCGAGGCGACGCTGCGTGGGCGGGCGAGAAGAATGAACCCTCCTCTGGCTCGTGCGCCGCCATGCCAAAATTTTGCCCCTCTCCCCCCCCCGCCGGGATTGGGGGGCGGTGGCCAAGGATGTCCCGTCGGCGTCCCCCAGGTGTCCCGCCGGTGTCCCGTTAGTGAGATCGGCTCTGAGGTCGAGAGTAAGATCGATTGTGAGGTCGACCGAGCGAGATCGCTCGTGAGATCTATAGTGAGAGGGAGTGTGAGATTGATCTTGAAAGGGTTACTGAGGTCGTTTGCGGGATCGATCGTGAGATCGATAAAAATATGGATCGTGAGATAATATGGGAGGTCGATTGTGAGATCGATCGTGAGCTCGATAGTAAGATCGATAGTGAGATGGATAGTGAGATCGATAGTGACATGGACAGTGATATTGATAGTGAGACCGATAGGGAGGTTGGCAGAGAGATCGATAGTGTGATCGATAATGAGATCGATGGTGATATCGATTGTGATATCGATTGGCACCGATAGTGAGCTTGATAGTGAGATCGATCGATTGGGATCGATACGGAGATCGATTGTGAGCTCGATAGTGAGAGCGATGTGAGATCGATAAAGAGATTGATAGTGAGATCGATTGAGTGAGTCGCTGGTTCCTCCCCCCGAATCACCTTATAACCTGAACGGTGGTCGTGTAGGTATTGAAATATAGCACAAGTTTCGATGGGCCGTCAGATCCATGATTTGTTCCAGATGTCGGCATCTTCGCCCGACGGCTCGAGATACTTCTTGCCGTGCCATTACTTGGCAGCATATATCTCAGGCCTTACGGCCGGTGCCGCCGACCCTGGGGGCCTCGGCCCTCGACGGAAATGGGAGGGAGAGGGCGGGCCATGGGCCCCGGGAGGGTGGAATTCTGACCCAGGACCACCCCCCGGGACCACCGCCTGGGACCCCCCCCAGGGAACAAAGGGAAGGGGCTTCTTTTCGACTCAATGACAACGCTGCTTAATTTCGCTGTGGATGGGCTGGTGCATTTCGCTTTGGCTGGCGTACTTGAGGACGAGGGCCCAAGGAAAGGGGGGGAGCGGCGACGGACTGAGGGGAAGGAGGGGACGTGATGGCGGCGGCGACGCGACGACGGCAACCACGGCGATGGCGACGGAACTGCCTCTGACACGCCGACAGGGTCGGCGGATTCGCAGTCTGTGGTATAGCTGAGGTACCGCTCAGTCGTCCAACTGGTAATGTACAATAGCAGCAGCTGGCAGCTACCTGCCTTGTGCCCGTGAGTGGGCCGAACACCATGCCCGCGAGATCAACTGAATGTACAATTTGAGCAACGCATTCGATGGGAAGTCCTACCCTTCTGAATGTTGCAATTCCTGAATCCTCTTCTCCACTGGCGCCCCCATATATCTCGATATGACAGCCTGTTTTCCATGGCCGTCTCAGCTTTCCTCTTGCATCGATATCCATCAACTTTATCGCACTAAACCTTCATGAGATCCATTCCCTCCTGTTTGGCCAGTAGCATCCACAGGCTGTGTTGATCAGAAGTTCAGAAATACGCGCACCGTGTTAATATTGCTCAGCGGTTTCAACAACAGCCTGAACTATTCATTGTCAATGCCGAGCTCAGCACCTCCTCCGCAGTAGTGGGTACTGGGTGGCTTCCAAACAATCTACCCAACATATGTTTGAATATCTTTCAAAACCTCCTTGTGTGAGTTCAAGGCCCCCGCATGCCAACACGAATGTGTATCCTCTCGCTCTGCCCGAAGCCTGATGCCATTTGGGCTCAGGCGCTCGGCCGTTTTTGACAATCGGTTGGGCGAAGATGCCGGCCCTTGGTCCGTGCGCCTTCGACGCCGCGCGGCGGCTTAGCAGCAAGGTGTTGCACGAACACGATTTCCTCGGCATGCGTTTCGCACTGCAGGCGGAGAGGCCGAGTTCAAGGGGACCCTCGTGCTAGTGGCGGAGGCCGTAGACCTCAGCGTGGACGAGGCGCGACAACCGCAGAAGGATCTCGTGGATCGGGCCGTCGTTCAGGAACCCGTTCTGGGACGCCTGAAAACGTGGCGCGTTTGCCCCGAGTGGGCCATGCTGGAGGACGCCGCAGCGTGCCTCCGACTGACGGGCGACCGAGGTACGGCCGAGGCCCTTCCGCCGCCAGGGACCCGCGGTCGCGCGGAGGTGCCGCGCGGCCGCGGAGGAGATCCGACGCGGGTTGGGGGTGCATGAGTGGGCTTAGTGGAGGCCTCGCTTGATTTCGCTGCTCGAGGAGATGGGAACACCCTCCCTTTACGGCGCCATTGGGCCGCAGACGCATCAACACAGTGAGGTCGCACGTGCGAGCCATGGGGTCGACGCGCAGGCGGCTCTTGCGCGCGCACGGGGCCCCGTGGCCTGTGACCATCGTGCACTTCATCGACTACGTGCACGCCGGGGCGGCTGAAACGCGTTGGTCGACGGAGCGAGCGGGTCCCGGGTCTCGATGCGAGCGACGGGTTGTCCTTTCGGCCCGAGGCGCAGCAGGTGTGGAGATGCTCTTCTGCGTGGGCAAAAGACCGACGACGAGGGCGGCACGTTTCCCCAGCGCGTACATCGGGGCCTTGGAACGGCTGGTCCTGGACCTCGGCGGCATCGCGCCGTACCTGCGCGGGGTGGTGTGGCTTTCTCCCGTTCAGGTGTGGGCGGCGTTGCGTTGCGACGACTGCAGCTGGCTCCCGTCAAAGCGCCTCGTCTTCGCCCGGTCCCCTTTCTGCCTGCCCGCCCTCCCCGCCAGCCCCGGCCACCGGCCCGCGCGTTGGTCGTCGTCTGTCTGCTTCTCCCCTCCTTTCCCCCCTTCACCAGGCAGCGTAGCCTTCCAGGGAGCAGCGTGGAGTTTCCCAGGATGGTATTGCAGGCTCCCTGGCTTTCCGGGGCTTCAGCGCTTGACAACCTGGATGGCAGCATCAGTTTTTTTCCAGGGCCTCCAGGGGCTGTTGTGGACCTCGAGGCGGTCCTTCGCTCTGACGAGCACGTGGCGCTCACAGAGCTGAGTTGTTCCAGATGTAACGCAAACGCGCGAAGGGATTCTATGGCGAAGGTCTGCCCAGATAGCCCGGTATCCGACGTGTTTCGTTGGACACAAGGGGCGCTGAACTGGAACCCCGACTAGATCACCGACCGAGTTCGTGACGATTCGCGTGTCCCCACCATCTCATCCAGAGACGATTGGTGGCTTTGCTGAGGCCTCTTGAAGGCGATCTTGAGCCATGCTCGGCTAAAGGCTGTCGGAAACAATCTTGGGCCATCTTGCGGCTGTTTTGAGGCCTCTTGGAGGTTTGTTGAGCCATGCCCGACCGATAGGGGTAGGAGGAGGAAAAAGAAGAGGAGGAGGAGGAGGAACAAGAGACGGAAAAGGAAGAGGAGGAGGATGAGGACCAGTGTACATCCAATATGTATCAACGCTGTTGGGATACATCCTCCCTCCAAACTCCTTCTTCACAGGCCCCTACAACGGTCCATTTCCATTGAGGGAGCGGCTTCTTTGGATGACAACCGTTTGAAGACCTCGAAGCATGCCAAAACATTGGTCTCGGGATTCCAACGCCACGGATCAACCTAATTTTTGCGTCTTGGCAGTCCTGAGTCGTGCCAGAGCGCCATTCGTGGGACTTCGACGCCGCGAATCAATGTAACTGTTGCGCCCGCGTAATCTGGAATCTTTTCCAAACACCAATTCTGGCACGCTGATGAGGGTAATCCGTGAAATGCTTGCACATGTTGTTAACGAATGCGCGCGGCGCTTAGGCGAGAGCCGCATTTTGAAAAGGAGCCGCCCTCCATCCGTGAATATCATGCAAGTTCTTAGAACGGATGTGCGCCGCGCTAAAGCGAGAACCGCATTTTGAAAACGACCCGCCCTCAATCCGCGAAGCTCTTTGCAGTTTTTTGAAACGAATGTGCGCCGCATTAAAGCGAGAGCCACACTTTGAAAACCAACCGCCTTCGACCCGTGAAATTCTTGAATTTTGTACAGCGAACGTGCTCCGCGCTAGAGCGAGAACCACATTAAAAACAAAC